AACCAATCATCACAAAACTGGATCCAGTCCGCCTCGCAGCACCCACTCCCCCTGCCTGCCAGAGCGGCGTTCTGCACTCCCCTTCTTTCATCCACAGAGTCCTCAAGGATGCCCAGTCATCTCTGCCAGCATCCAGAAATCTGCGCAGCAACTGCCTCTCTTCCTAGACCCAGGGGAAAAAAAAAATTATATATAAAACACAATGTTTTATTGATATATTTACAATTTTAAAGCAATTTGCAATCCTAACAGTGCCTCCGTCACTGCAGTAAAATAGAATCTGAATACCTCTAAATGTTGGTATTTGGGTTTGGATTTTTTATCATGGAAATATCAGAGCTCCCCCTGCACCCTTAGCTAGCAGCAGGCAGGTCCAGGTCCCTCCCTCCCAAGCCACAGCCCTCTGGCCCTGCTGGTACCCCTCACTCCCGCTACACAACCTTCCCCGCTGCCCCACCGGCCCTGCTGGTTCCCTCATCCCACCCCCCCCCCCCAAATCCTCCCTCAGCCCTGCTGGTGCCCCTCACCCTTCTCCCACAGCATTGCCAGCTGCCAGGGCTATAGGGCCAGGGACCCAGGTCCGCAGCCTTGTGCCCCCCGCAGCAATGCTCAAGTCCCTATCACTCATTGAACAAGGTGTCGTGTCAATCCCTGGGCTAGTCCGGGATCCTAGGTTTGATTTGCTAACAGGGAGTATTAGAGGTATGGGGGTATTTAGGGATATGGGATAATGAATATTTTAGGGGTGTCAGGGGGGTATTTGGGGCATATTGGAGTAAGAGGGGTCACTGGGAATGTGTTGGGCTAAAAGGGGGGTGTTTGGGGGCAAAGGAAGGGCTTTGGGGAATATTAGGGGAAAGGGAGTGTTTCAGCCAAAAGCAGGGCACTAGGTGGTCCTGGGGGGTTTTAGCACCACCCTTCAGCACTGGCCTCTTGTTCCACGTGGCTGCTGCACCCCAGAATCAGCTGCATCTGGGTGGAGGGGCACCCCAGTCTGGTCACCCTCCTCCCCACAAGTAGTTGTAGCTCAGGTTCTCCCCAGAATCAGCTGCATTTCTGAGCTCAGACCCCTGTTGGAGGCAGGAGGCAGGGTGGGGGGCTGCAAGTCAGGACACCTGGGCTCTCCACCCTTACCTCTGGTGGTGCGGGAAAGCCCCAGGATTTCAGGGAAGAGTAAGAACATTTTTCTTCATTTTATGTTTTATTCTTTTTTATTTTGTTTTAATTCCTTTCACTTTTTATTTCTATTTTATATTGCTTTTTACTTTGTAATTTTTTTTTCCTTTTTAAACTATTATTGTTTTTTAATTTAATTAGTTTAGTATTTTAAAAGAACAGAAGAATAAAACAATCAACCCCCACCCTTGGCAGCCCCCAGCCGTTAATTAACTTTTTGCTTCTAGGTGCCCCCCCGCCACTTGCCTCCCCCACCTGGACGCCTGGGTCCCTTGCAGCAGTGGGGGGCAGGTATGGTGCCAAACTGGCCCCACAGCTGGATTCCTTGGGAGGGGGATTATAACCTGGCTGCCCCCACCCCCCCAATCCCTGAGAGGGGGGAAGAACCAAAGTGTCCAAGTTCCAGCTGCCCCCAAGGTCCTGCCCAGTTCAGAGCTCCTGGGGCTTGCCTGTTTGGGGGGCAATCCCCTCGTACCCAGGCCCTTGGCACTTCATGGGGTGGGGAGGTTAAAGGGGTCTTTTGTGTGCAGCCCCCCCACTCCCATGCACATGCTCCCCCATTGCAATACGACCCCCACTTCCCCTTCCTTTCTGGCCACCCTCAGCCCCCTTTTATGATGCACCGCTGTTCGCTTGCATTCGACCCCACCCCACAGCCTTATGTGCTGCGTGTTCCTCCAGGGGGCTTTGGTGACGGACTGGACGTGTCACAGAAGTGGGGATGGGACCAGTTGTGCCACGTGTGGGCACACACCAGCCCAGCCGGGGGATGCACACACGTGTGTGCACTGCTGCATGCCAGATGCTGTGGAGGCAAGTGGAACACACTGCTTGGCCCAGGCCGGGTGTGCACATGCGTGTGCACAGGGCACGCACAAGAACCGTGTGCAATACCCACAGGGCTGAAGGGAAAGCACATGTGCACCCGCATGTGCAGGCCAGCCCTACACGGTACGTGTGTGTAACACACTTGCTTTCCTGTCTCCATGTCAGTGCACACACCAAGGTCATGCCCACAAATGGAACACATGCCCCCCCCCCATTCTGAAACATGCAGCCACCCCCCCAGGAACATGTAACCCAGGAGGAGGGCCCAGATGCGCACGCAGGTGGGCAATCGTATACCCATGACCCAGCCTACATGGAAGGCAGCGATGTGCACACGTGTGCATCTGTACACACATGTGGAATCCTACATGCAGGGGGGCCCCTCCCTCACTGGGCCAGTGGGGCGGGGCCCTGGCAGGCCTGGCACGCTCCCATTGGCTGGCCCTACCCTGACCCCTCACTGCCAGGACAGGACCACTTCCCCTGGCAGAGGGACATGGTGGAAAAAAAAAGAACTTTCTTCCTCAGCAAAGACTTTTCCAGGGTGAGCGGGGGAGACGTCACTTCCGGCCTGTAGGCCCCCTGCCATGCAGCCAGCTGAGGGAATTGTGGGTAGCAAGGATTTGAGGGTGAGGGCAGACAGTGACTCATGCATGTGGCAGGGCAAGTGTATGCCCCCCCAGTCAAGATCCCTGGGTTCACAGCCCAAAACAGGCCTAGGCCTTTGCTGTGCCCCCCACAAGGGACAGGCTGAGGGTCCTGCCCCCCTCCCTGGACTCCAGCACAGACCCTGATACCCAGATCAGGCCCCTGCCCCCGGCAGGGGTGGAGCACAGACACCTTGCTGCAGCCCCTAAGGGCCATGTGACCCCTACAAAGAACCTAAGCCCCCTCCCCACTCCCATGGAACCCACACACCTGTCGCCCCTCACTCCCGACCAGCAGCCCCATACACACACGTGTGACCCGGGCTCACAGGCAGTGACAAGTTTAATGCACAAGCCCCCTCACCCCACACAGACCCTGGGGGGGGGCATTGCATTCGCACACACCAGGAGGCAACCCCCCCCAGGGTCAGGGGCACATAGGCAATAGGATTCAGGTCCCTGGGAGCCCCCCTTCATCGCCCCAGAGCTATGGGACCCAGATGTCCCAGGCCCCCACTCTGACCCTCACCCCGCCCTACCAGGAGTCCTGCTCCCCCTCAGGGGCTCTTCTGTGACCTCTGACCCTTGACCCCATCCCCCTGGGGATAGCAGCATGGGGGTGGGCAGCACCATTGATCACGAGGGGGATTGTCCATGGGGGGGAGAGGGGAGGGAAAAATTGAGGGGGGGAGGGGCCTGTTCCCATGAGCCTCTGGGAGCCACCCCCACAATCCTCAGCCAACCCCACACCCCTGCTATCCCATGATCCTCCACTGCCTGATTCTTCCCACCATTTTTTGAAACTCCCCCACTAGCCCACAATCCTTTGCACCTGCATCGTGGCCCTCCCCCAACATCCCACAATCCTTTGCAGACCCACAAACCCTCCCCTGTACCACAGAGCCCTTTGCAGCCTGAGAACAGCCCCTCCCCAATTACCCACAACCCTTTGCAGCTCCATCTTGGACCTCAGGTTTCCCAAAACTTTTTGCAGCAACCCCCAGTATCCCATAATCCTTTGCAACAGTCCCCTGACATCACACAATCCTTTCAGCTGTCTGACCCCTCCCCCCATTATTCCATCTTTTGGGTCTGTCCCTTGGACATCCTACAATCCTTTGCAGCAACCCCCACTACCCCATAATCCATTGCAGCAGTCCCCCTGACATCCCACAATCCTTTTCAGCCATCTCCAACCCCCACTATCCCATAATTCTTTGCAGCAGTCCAACATCTAACAGTCCTTTGAAGCTGGCCCCCAACATCCTACCCTTTGCAGCAACCCCCACTATCCCATGATCCTCTGCAACTGTCCCAACATCCCACAACCCTTTGCAGCTGCCTCTGACCCCCCCGACATCCCATAATCCTTTGCTGTGGCTCCACCGCTCCCCCCACCACTGACATCCCAGCACCCATTGCACCAGTGGCCTGCCCATAATCCCCTGCTCCTACAGTGGGGTGTCGGGGTCCTGCAGATTGGGGGCTGAGAGCTGGCGGCGCAGGCGGGGAGGGGGGCTGTCCCCAAGGGGCTGGCGGCCCCCATCCTGCTGTGGGGCAGAGCCCAGGCTGTGGGGGGGGCAGGGCTCCGGCCGGCTGGCTCCGCCCTCCAGGGAGTTGCGACGCTGGTGGGTGCGCCGAGGGCGTCCCCGAGTGGCCGGGCCAGGCTCAGGCTCAGGGGGGTCCAAACTACCCCCCCAGGCCTGGCGGTGCTGGGGGTTGCTCTTAAAAGGGAAACGCAGCTTGCAGTCCTGGGGGGGCACGAAGCGGCCCGGACGCCTGGATCCACGCCCCAGCTGCAGGCCCTGAAGCCGGGCCTGTTCCTGGCGCAGCCACCGCAGCCGCCCACGCCGGAACGCGGGGTCCTCCTCCATGAGGCGGCACAGACGCTCAGTGCTGGATGGCATTGGCGCCCGCCCCAGCCCTGCCCCCAGGCCAGGCTCTGGCTCTGCCCCCTCATCCCCTGGCACCGGGGACCCCCCCCAGCCAGCGTCTTCCAGGTCCTCCTCGTCATCCTGGGGGAAAAGAGAGAAGTGTTAGGGGGTGGCTCGGATGCCTGGGTTATCTGGGTGGAGCTGGGCACCCAGACTCCTGGGTGCCATCAAGGTGCGGGCTCCACCCACTGGTAGCAAATGGCTAAGGCTGGTCTCAGGCCTGGCACTGGAGAGGAGGGAGGCCAAGTGTTTGGAGAAGGGGACAGCTGGGAGCCTGGATGCCTGGGTTCCCTGGGAGAGAGGGGAAGTGGGGCTGGGGATGACGGCTGGGGGTCAGGGCCTGGACACCTGGGTTCTACGTGGATTTGGTGGGGTGCAGGATGCCTGGGTTCCATATGGATCTGGGAACTGGGGCCCAGACACTTGGGTTCTACGTGGATCTGGCGAGTCTGGGGCCAGGATGCCAGGGTCCCAAGCCGCACCTCACCTGGCCTAGGGGGATGACACGCTCCATGCGCAGCACGCGGTCACGCAGCGCCCTAATCTCCTCGTCCTTGAGGTCATTCTGCAGCCGCACGTCCTGCAGGATGCCAGTCAGCTGGTCGATGTGGGCCCGCAGCCCTGCCATATCGGGTCCGGTGCCACAGGGGACCTCGGGCCCACCACCCACGGTGCGCCACACGTCCCGGGCCACAGCCTGCCAGCTCTGGTGCTCGGCGGGGTCACGCAGGCCATGGCGGCGGCACAGCTCGTGCAGACGTGCTGCGCTCAGCGCCTCCACCTCAGCTCCCGAGTGCCGGAAGTCAGCCAGTGCCACCTCGTAGCACACCTCCTTGACGGCCTGCAGCTGCAGCTCGGGCAGGCCAGGTGGCGCGGCCTTGGGGGGCCGGCGCCGCGCTGGGATCTGGTAGACACGCAGTGGGGCGCGCCGCTTGCCGCTGCTGGGCAGGCCGCAGCGCCGCACAATGCCCTGCACCGAGGGCGCTGGCAGCTGCTCCCGCAGTGCCGACAGCAGGCGCCAGCTCTGCTCACACGAGCGCCGCTCCGAGTCGTCCCCGCTGTCTGAGTCTGCATACTGCGATGGGGAGCAGGGTAAGATGAGAACCCAGGCGTCCAGGCACGTGCCGCCCCCGCCCCCCATCTGCCCCCTGCCCCTACCAGCCTCTGCTGCTCCAGGAGCAGGTCAGCCTCCTCCTTCTCACGCCGGTACTGGTTCTCCAGGTCCTGCAGCCTGGTGGGGGATGGGATAAGACTGAGGTGAGGGCCCTGGGGCCCTCCCCGCCAGGCTCGGCTGTCCCACAATCCCCTAGGGTGCTGCCTGTGCTATCTCAACCTAGCCTGGGCCAGCTCCTCACTATCCCACCATGCCACAGGATAGCCCCCCACTATTCCAGCCTGTCCTGGGCTGGCCCCCCACTATCCCATTATGCCATAGGCCAGGGCCCTGCTACCCCAGCCTGCCCCAAGACCAGCACCCTGCTATTGCAGACTGCCTGGGGCTAGCTCCCCACTATCCCACCATGCCCTTGGGCAGCTCCCCTCTATCCGAGCCTGTCCCGGTCCAGCTCCCCACTATCCCAGCATGCCCTTGGGCAGCTCCCCTCTATCCGAGCCTCCCCCAGCCCAGCTCCCACTATCCCAGCATGCCCTTGGGCAGCTCCCCTCTATCCGAGCCTGCCCCAGGCCAGCTGCCCATTATCCCAGCCTGCCCCAGGCCGGGCCCCCGCTATCCCAGCCTGCCCCAGGCCGGGCCCCCGCTATCCTAGCCTGCCATGGGCCGACCCCCCATTATACCCTGGGCCAGGCCCCCACTCTCCCAGCCTACCCCAGGCCAGGCCCCCACTCTCCCAATATGCCATGGGCTAACTCCCCACTATACCCTGGGCCAGCCCTCCACTATCCCAGCCTGCCCCATGCTAGCCCCACACTATCCCAGCCTGCCCCGGGCCAGCCCCCGCTACTCCAGCCTGCCCCCCAGGCCAGGCCCCCACTATCCCAGCCTGCCCTTGGGCCGACCCCCCACTATCCCAGCCTGCCCCAGACCAGCTCACCGCTTCTCCATCTCAAGCTTAATGTCGATGCCCTGTTCACGCAGCAGCTCGCGCTGGGCGTAGCTCCAGTCCACTGGCTCCGGGGGGGGCGCGGTGGTTGAAGCGGAAGACGTGGTTCTTGCCCAGCACCATGCGGTTACCTGTGGGGAGAGGGCGGCAGGGTAACACCCCACCGTCGAAGCTCCCAGCCCCATTGCCTCCCGAGGACCCTGGCATCTGGGCAGCCCCTACCTGACTTGAGCACCAGGGGCTCAGTCACCAGCTTCCCATTGACGTAGGTCTCGGCCCCAGCACACGGCTCCAGTGTCACCACCACTGCGGGGGAGGGGGACTCCTGAGCAGGGCAGGGGTGGTGGGGAGGCCCTCCTCACCATTTTCGGGTGGCAGGGGCTCCAGTCACCATTTTAGGGCAGTGGAGGGGCAGACTCAAGAGCCCCATGACAGGTCGGGGGTGGACAGAGACCAGAGCCATGCCCCAAGGGATGCTGGGAGCCAAGAGTTGTGCCCCAAGGGATGCTGGGAGACAGGGGCCAGGCCCCAGGGGATGCTGGGAGATGTGGGGGCACGACCCAAGCCATGATACCTGGAGCCTTGGCCTCCTCCAGTGTCAGCACAAGAGATGAGGAGAGAGAGGCGTTAGCCCAGCCACCCCCCTAGGTCCGTTCTGCAAAGGATTCTGGGATTGAGGGGGCCTGGACAGCCGCTAGAGCCCCAAGGGACTCTGGGAGAGAAGGGGCCATGCCTCTGAGGATGCTGGGATTAAGTAGCACCTTGCCAGAGGATTCTATATGTTGAGGGGAGCAAAGCCCTGAAGGATTCTGGGATTGAGGAGCTCGTTTCCCTGCCCCCCCCCCGAGCATCCTGGGATTGGAGGGGAGTAGAGCCCTGAAAGATTCTGGGACTACTGGAGGATGGAACCCTAAAGGATTCTGGGATTGAGGGGGTCACATCCCCAGAAGATTTGGGGATTGGAGGAGGATTGAGCCCTGAAGGATTCTGGGATTCAGGGGGTCATGTCCCCAGAGCATTTCGGGATTGGAAGGGGAACAGAGCCCTGAAGGATTCTGGGCCAAAGCCCACAGGGTTCTGGGATGGAGGGGGATGCCCTGGAGTATCTGGGATTTGTACATGGGACTCTGGGATTGCTGGCGTCAAGTCACAGAAGATTGTGGGACTGAGGGGGTCTGGGAGGGTGCCCCCCCACCCTGGGGCACCCCCTACCTTCGCCAGTAGTGGTGGTGCGGCTCCAGATGTTGCAATGCTGCTCCGCAATGAACTGCCCTGTCAGTTTGATGTCGACCCCCACCTGCCCCACCCTGCGGGGACAGTGGGAGGTCACAGGGGGGCCTCAGTGACCTGCTACCCCTCACCCCCACTATCCCAGCATGCCCTAGGGCACTCACCGCGTCAGCCCATCTTTAATGTGATACAGCAGGCACTCTGACATGAGGGGGTCCTCGTTCAGGTTCACCAGGTGAGGGGTCTGTTGGTGGGGGAGGATGAGGGGCGGGGGGAGAGAACCCAGGCATCTGGGGCTCCCAGCACCCTCTGCCCTCCCCGAAGCCAGAGAAAGAACCCAGGCGTCCAGGTTATGCAGTGAGGGAGGGTCTAGGGCAGGCACAAGGGCCTGAAATCCCAGTCCAGGGGGGTCCAGCTCAACAGGTACCCCCTCCCAATCGCGGACCCCCCTCCACTTGCCTTTTTAGGGGAAAAGACCCCCACGGTACCGCCGTCCTCCCGCAACGCCACCCCCATCTCAGCCAGCAGTGCCTCCCTGCAGAGCGAGAGAGACCCTGTCACCCCCACCTGGACCCCCAAGGGTTCTCGGGTACTGAGGGGGCCTCAATGTGGCTGGCTCTGGGGGCGGGCCCTCACCGCTCCATGCGAATAGCCTCGGTCTTCCGCAGCTTCTCTTCCCAGGTCTCGTTCAGCTCCGCAATGATCTTCTCTGTTTCCTGGTGGCCCCAGAGCAGCAGAGTCAGCATGGAGAGACTGGGGGACTCTCCAGAGCCCCCAGGGCCCCCTGACCTCCGTGACCCCCAGAGGACCCCCTAAGCTCCACGTTGGACCACGAGAGTCCAGAACAGAACACATTTCAAGGCAGGGAGCCTGGATGCCTGGGTTCTCTGGGAACAGAGGGGGGTGAAGGGTGACAGCAGGGAGGCTGGGGGCTCAGACGCCTGGTTTCTCTGAGTGTTGGGGGGGTTGAGAGCAGTGGGCTCGGACCCCTGGGTTCTTCAGGTGTTGGGACCTGGGGGGTGAGAGCCCAAATGCCTGGGGTCTTCCCCTTCACCTGCAGCCTCTCCATGGCTTCCTCAGTGCCCATGGCCTGCCCCGGCAGGGCAGCGAAGGGCTCTGCCTCCCCATTGAGGGTGCCATGGGTCTCAGCGCCAGGCGCCAGGGGCAGTGTGGGGGCAGCCGGGGCACCTCTGCCTTCCTCCACCTTCACACCTGCAGGGGCGGGATAAGAATTAGGAGACCCAGCATGCAGAGCACCCCTCCCCCTCCCCATCCCCTGCCCCTCACCAGCGCCCCCCTCACCGGGCAGGCCAGGGCCATCGGACAGGCCCTGGGCGAAGAGCAGCTCACGCAGCCGTGCCACTTCAGCCTGCAGCTCGCGCACCAGCCGCGCGTTGGGGTCCTCGTTGATCACTGCGTTGCAGCGGATCTGCTTGGTGCGGTCTGCATAGCTGGAGGGATGGCGCATGAGGGGAAATGTGGGGGTGGCCCTGCCCCCTTGGTCCTGCCCCCTAGAGTAGGACCCCCCGTGACCTCTCACCCCCAGCTCCCACCCCCTATAGAGACCAGCCCCCAACCTTGACCCCCTAGAGCCCAGCCCCCAGCACAGAGCCTGGACCCCGTCCCCGCTGCCCTCACCCCCTCAGGCCCGAGCGCCCCTCACCGGAGGGTGCTCAGGGTCTCCTCATAGTTGCTGTCAGCCGGACTGAGTGCAGCAATCATGGCTGTGCGGGAGTTGCCCCCTGTGGCAGGCAAAAAGAGGTAGTTAGGGGGTACCCTCCTGGGCTCCCAGATCCCTCTGGTCTCACCCTGCAACCCCTAGTGCCCACCAGGTGTCCAGGCTCCCAGCCGTCCCTGCTCTTATCCCCCCACCCCAGAGACCCCAGGAGTCCGGGTCTCACCCAGGCTCTCCTTGAGCAGCCAGGTGAGCACAGAGTCACGGTAGGGGATGAACTCGGCCTTCTTCCGCTTTGGGTTTTGCTTCAGGAATGGACGGACAGGGAGTGGGGGTCAGGTTGCCCCCAAACTCCCCCACTCCCTCCCAGATGCAGCCCCCATCCTCCCCCTCACCATCTCGGCCAGGGCGGAGATGACCTTGCCCAGCGTTGTCAGTGACTTGTTGATGTTGGCACCTTCCTGTAGGACGGGGGACAGAGACAAATGGGGGGTGTTATAGCCTGGTGGGCTCCCCTGCTCAGTCCGGGACTTCACCCTACCCCTCAGCCCCTCACCTTGAGCCGCATGCCTGTGGCCCCCGAGGAGTCAGCCCGCTCGCTGCCTGCCAGGTCCACCAGCCCGATCTTGCTCACCTGGAGGGGGAAGGGGGTCAGTAGAGGGGGCTGGGGTACCCCAACCTGCCCCTCCATAATACTGCTCCCACCCAGCCAGGACAAGGCCCCCGCAAGCCCAGAGCCGAGGCCTGGCATGCTTGTGTCATGCTTGGTACCCACCCCCACCCAGTAGGATTCCATGCCCCCCCCACAAACAGGCCCTGAAACTGCCCTCCCCCACCACAGCTGAGGCCTGGCACACTTGTGTCATGACTGGTACCGCCCCCGCGCACACTCCCCCCTCGCGCACACACCCAGCAGGACCTCCTGCCCGTCCCCCACTCTGAGCTGAGGCCCAGCACACTCGTGTCACCCCTGCCAGCCCCTCTCCTCCCCAGCTGGACCCCCAAGGGCCCCCCAGAATCAGGTCATAACCCCCTCCCCAGAGCTGAGACCCAGGACACTCACATCACCCCCTCTCCAATGCAGCCAGAACTCAAGACCCTCCTATTCCCCCCAAAATTAGTCCATAACCTCCCCACCACTCTGAGCTGAGACCTGGCACGCTTGTGTCATGCCCCGCGCCCCACCCCACCACCCCGCACCTTCTCGGTGTCAAGTCCAGTGAGCTGGTCATGTCGGCGCTGGCTGAAGACGATGGTGAACACAGCGTGCGAACGGCTGCTTGTCTCATTCATGTTGGTGGCAGCCACCGTTCTGTGGGGGACAGGCTGGGGGGGTCAGAGATGGGGGAACACTTCCCACCTGGCAGCCCGGATGCCTGGGTTCTCCACGAGATGAGGTGGGGACTGCGGGTTTAGGGTAAGGAGCAGCCCATACACCTGGGCTCTCTCCTGGCTTTTAAGGGGTCCCAGATGCCTGGGTTCTACCCCAGCTCTGGGAGGGGGGTGGTTGTAGTGGAGACCTGAGCTCCACATCTATCCCAGATCTGGGAAGGAGGTGGGTTTAGCAGGGACCCCAGATGCCTGGGTTGGGACAGTTTGGGAAGCAAGGGGGCTGGGCCCTCAGATGCCTGTGTCCCGCACCTGGCCTTGTTGCCACAGTCCATGAGGTCAGCGATGTCCTCAAAGGAAGTGACGGCCAGCTTGGACAGGTCCTGGACGTAGGGGCCGAGCAGGGGGTGCTCTCGCACCCGCAGGCTGCCCCCGCGCCGTGGGCTCAGCAGGTCCCGCACACGCTCACAGTAGATCTCCATGTAGCTCACCTGAGAGGTGGGGACAATTGTGAGCCCTGGCCCAAAGCAGGGGGGTAACAGGGGAAATAGGGGGACTGGGACTCACCTCCACCGAGTAGGACACATCAGGGGACGGGTCAGCTTTGATGCGGGCAAAGAGGTCCTCGCACAGCTGGGGAGAGGCATGGAATGGCAGGAGTTAACAGGGGACCTCTGAGACCCCCCCCATATCCCAGCACCCTGCCAGACACCACCCCCCTGGGACCACCTGGGGGATGATGCCCTGCTGCCCAGGCTCCTGCCGACCCATCATGGTATAGGACTTGCCGGCGCCAGTCTGGCCATAGGCGAAGATGCAGACATTGTAGCCCTCGAAGGCGTGCAGCAGCATCTCTTCCCCGATGTCCCGGTATACCCGGTGTTGCGAGGCAAACCGTGGGTCCTCCTCCTGGGCACAGAGAACTCAGGCGTGCGGGTCGAGCCCACCAGACCCTGTTCTCCTCCCGCAGCAGGGAAAGAACCCAGGCATTCGGAGTCCCAGCTCCCCCCACGCTGTAACCCACCACCCCCACTCCCCTCCCAGAGTCGGGGGAGAACCCAGGCATCTGGGGCTGTCCCATGCCAGGCCTCCAGGACTCACCGAGGTGTGGGACCAGTACGAGTAGTCAAAGGTGAAGTTCTTGGAGGCATCTTTGGATGTTTTGGGATTGGTGATGCCTGGGCCATGGGGAGAGGGAAGAAAAAGATTGGGGTGGAGATGAGGGGCTGGACTCCTCCCCCCACCAGGATTGGGCCCCCCTTAGCCAGGATCAGGCCCACACTGCACTGAGATCAGGGCGGACCCCCAGACCTCCCTGACAACCTCCTGGGGGAAGGTAATGCCATAGGGAACCCCTGCCAGCCCCCTCCCGGAGATGGGACACCCCCCCCCCAGCACTCACAGGTCATCTTGCCCTGCATCTGGATGATGCACCTTGCCTCCTGGCCGCTCTCCCGGGCATTAAAAGGCCGGACCCGCACGGCCACCTTCACTGAGGCACCTGCCATGGTGGGGTCAGTGCTCCAGCCGCAGACTGGCCCTGCTGGAGACAGACAGGGAGAAGGGGGGTTCAGTACTGCCTTGAGCCTTCGGTGCCACCCAGGAGCCAATGCAACCTCCCTTGATAGATACCCAGCTCCTATCACCTTAATTCTGCCACCTGCATCACCAACAGCCCTGGGCATCTGCCCCCTGGGAAAGCAAGGGAGCTGTGGCCACCTGCTGCTGCTGCTGGGTGGGGAGGGTCACAAATGACAGCCAAAGCCAAGCCCACGCCCCTGCTGCAGAGAAAGGTGAAATCCCCCCAGTCCACACCAGTCTGGCCAGGGACAAATCCCCCTGAATGGGAGCGAACACGATCAAGACCTGGTGTTCTCGGCATCACTTTAACTTTGCCCCTTGTTTTTGGGATCACGGGCAGCACCCCTCCCAAACCGCCAGAGGGAAGGGGCCCATCAGAATGGGTGTCTCATACAGGTGAAGCCCCCGGGTTTTATGGGGTGAGTCCCACTCCCTTGGGACCTAAGCGATCCCTGTCGGGGAAGGGACGAGGCCAGCACCTCTTGCTCCTATCCCACGGACAAACCCCGAAACCAGGCGTGGCCAGGGGAGGAGGAGACACTGCCTGATCCTGCCGGCCTGACTGCTTCCCCCGTGGGGAGGAGGAAGCAGAGCCAGTGGTTTGTCCCTGCCCATGCTGTGCCAGCCTCTGGGAGATCCAGAATGGCACACGCACACCCGTGTGTGGCCACACCCATGCACAGTCCCGGCTGCCAGCCAGACAGGTTGTTGGCCATGGGAGCAAGGTTGAAAGCCCAAGGTGACACAGGGATTCATTAGACCCAGCCTGGGCAATGGGGAATGAGAGAGAAGGAAGGGAGCCCAGACACCTGGGTTCCACACTCATCTCTGCCACCCCCGACCCTTGACCTCGCTCCCTGACAAGGTGTACGTACAGCGCCTGGCACGCCAGGCCCACCCCCAAATGCACACACCTACAGCTGAAGGCTCCCTCCAGGCCGCTGGGAAGGTTGCTGGCATGTTTGCAAGAGGCGTCCGAGCTGATAAACACCCAAAGAGGGAGGGGGGGTGACCTAAAATTAGATGCAGGGCACAGAGGCCCTGGCACTGCCCCTCTGCTCACGCTCTTCACTCGGGGTTGCTGATGGGATCTCATGTGCCCAGGGGAGCCTGTCCCCTGCTCCAGGGTGGGAGCTGGGAAGCAGGGCCAAGAGCAAGAGAGTGGAGTTTCCCAGGGAAATGCTCCCATGTCTGAGACTGAGGGGGGACGCGGGAGCAGCTTGACAAAGAAGGGAGACAGGCTTTTCCCTGAGGCCATGGGAAAACTGAGGCTGGAGATAACGAGGAACTGAGGCCAGGAGCAAGCAGTGCCTCTCCCTCAGAAAAAGCAGAGAAACTGTCCCAGTTTGGGACAACCAGCATATGCCCAAGCCAGCTGCAACTCTTCTCCCTGTGAAATGGGCTTTTTGCAAGGACATGCGAGGTGACTGTGACACAAGAGAACCAGCGCTATATTTGGACGCCCCTCCCCAAGCAGGTGACCCTTCGACGTCACTTGAACGCCACAGGCATCCATCCAGGGAAGGGTATCCACCACCAGCAGCAGAGATGGGGCTGTGAGGGGACAGACCCCAGCGGACAGGAGCATGGCGATTCTCAGCTAGGGTGCCATGAGGTCCTTTTAAGGTGCCTATCTCCAGTGGAAACCCCACCGGGACTCTGGTTCTGTCCTGCTGCAGGCTTCCCCCAGGTCTTTTGTAGGCAAGAAATGAGTGAAAACAAAGAGCTGGCACATTCGGGGAGGCGGGGGGCTGGAGTCTAACGAGGCCGGGAAGCAGGAAGGAGCCCAAAAGGGTTTCCTGCCCCGGCTATAAGGGCGGAAAGAGGATGAAGGGAGGATTTCCCTCGTACCCGCAGCTCACACAGATTCGATAAGGGAGCACTGGGGCTACCACCCTGAAAACTGGGGGAGAGAGGAGGCTGCTCGGACCTCACATGCAACCCTGAAGGACTCCAAGAAGAAGAGTCTTAGATGCACCCGTGCAATTAGCCACCAGCGCCCAAAGCCCCTAGGAAGAGCAGAACGAGCACTTAGATCATGAATTCTCCCCCTGCTGCTAGGATTACAACCCCCGTAAGGGGTAATATCACCCCACAATGGAGGGATTTGGGGAGGGGGATGTCCTTGCTTTCCTTTTATGCTACCGTTCATCCACCGCGAACAGGAATGAGCTCGGCCGGGGTCTCATGCTGGCCCGGCTTGGGGAGGAGGGGAAGAGACAGTCACGCAACGTGCTTGGCGGGTCTAAAAATAAGCCCTGACTGCATCACTCGCGCGTTCCTGGCCCCCCTCCACCCCCGGGAATCCATTTCAGCTCCGAGGTGTGGGGGGCTCGACAGGGACCCCCACCCAATGGCCAGGTCCAGGTGGATCCCGGCCACCAGAAAAGCAGCCGGACCTCTGGTGACATTCCTGTTGCAGCCTGGTCTGCCCCCCACATCCAGGGTGACCCCCGCCCCATGCACAGCTCACCCTACAGACCCCTCTTCACCCTCAGGCCTCAAGCCTCCCTACCCACACCCCAGCTCACCTCTCACCCCAGGGAGACCCCTGCCCCAAACCTGACCCCACCCCTGATTTGACCCCTCCACAGCCCCCACCCAGCCCTTGACCTCCTGCGACCCCCTCAGCC